TTTCGAAATGTGTTTAATTTTAGCAACACCTATGGAGCTCACTTTTATATACACATCTATTGTATATCATTACATGTACATACCTTACTAAAGTATCCAACTGTATGACAGCCGTCCACATCAGCTAATGTCATTATATAAAAAAGGAATGGTTCTACATCGTAGTAAAGTGTTTTGTGATCCAGGAAGAATTTAGCCAAAAGACACAAATGTTGACAGTATTGCTTATGTCGTTTACCATCCACTTGCCATACTTGTAGTTTGCCTTTTCGATATATCTCATCACCTGGCGGATGTCGCCACACACATTTCTCGGCGTGCCGTTTAATGCCAGTTTCTGATTTCTGATATCGGAGGCAGAACTCACAAATATTCATTTGAGGTAGCCGCGCCGCATCGTCAGGGTATGGCGATTGATACCAAACTTTCATCCTATATTTACCCATTGTTATATACCTGTTATAAATAGCAAGTATTTTATTTTTATGGTACATATCAATGTTTGTTTTGTTTGTATGGACACTTACTTTATCCCCTTTCCAACAGGCAAATCTTTGAGCTCATCTTCGACTTTTTCGGAGGCGATTGCTTGAGCATCCCGAAACAATTGCAAATCATAATCAGGCACAAGTCCAATCAAGTTAGGTTCACGATCCTCATCAGTGCAATCTTTTTCAAGTTTTACTTTATCAGTATTTATGGTAGCCGCTATAGGGCGAAATCTTACTCGTGATTCGCGAATTTTAGCTAAAAATTCATTTTGTTCATTTGTGCGTCCTTTTGGATTTGCCACATCGGAATTATTTAAATTACTATTACTGTTACGTAGACGTCGCTCATTCCTAAGTTTTCTTTCGGGAACACGTTCTTTGCACTCAGATGCCGACATATTGTGGTAAATAGGACAAGCTTCGGGTAGAAAATGTCTATCCAAATTGCCGCATAAATGACCTGACGAGTCACATCCCTCAATTGGGCATTTTTTCTCCATTTGTTGAGGCGGTGATAACGAACGTGGCTTGGACGATGTTGAACCGAATACGCCAGCTTCCTTCTTTACTTTGCATTTACTACCGCCGGTAGATGAAATACAACGCTTTGCTGGACTTTTTGACAATGAATGTTTCTCAGTGTCTAAATCGACCTCAGACTCGCTTTCAGAAGGGCAGCCGGCACCGCCTGAAGACTTTGGTTGCTGCCTAGACCGTCTGGTACTTAGTGAACGTGTGAGTTTGCGTGGCGCTCCATCGTCTGAGTCGGAATTTGCTATTTTAGCAGCGGTAGGCGCACGTTTACCTTTCACTGATTTTACTGGATGGGTATCATAAGAATTACTGCTCTCGGTGGCTTCAGACTCAGTAGTGGTAGTTTTTCCACTTTCCGATTCGCTTTCTTCTTCGTCCTCTTCTGAGCTCTTGTTCTTTGCTTTTCCAACTATAGTGCGCTTAGTTTGTGTTTTGGGCCTTGCCTGCTTTATTCGATTTTCTGAGCTATTTAAAGCCGCTGCCGAATTAGCCTGTGCGGATAATTTTACTTGCCCTTTACGTTCAGATTTATTACGACTAGAAGGGAATACCTCCCGATCTGATTCGTCTGATCCATGAATTGCAGTAGATGTATTTTTCTTTCCATCTTGTCCATTTTCAGGAACTAAGCTATTTTGTGCCTTTGAGTTGCCAGCCGGAGCTTTATTTGTGTGTGAATTTAGTTTATTCAAGGTATTTTGAGGTGCTTTACCACCGATAATTCGCTGATTACTCTGATTCTGTGCAGCTGATGTGCTCGAAGCGGACAGTTTCCGTTTTTGAGTTGTACTGGATGTTGCAACTGGCCTTGTCGACTTCTTACTAGGTGGAAGTTCATCATCACTTGAATGATTACCTGCACGAGGTTGCCGCAGAGATGCAGTATTACTATTGCTTAGTCTTGTCTTTGAAGTTGATTGTGAACTTGTAGCAAGTTTTTCTGCATCCGCTTTAGCTGCGCCTTTGAATTCGGAACTTTTCCGTCGAGTAGTTACTTGCGTTTTAGTTGCGGCAACTGTGCATGGAGCATCATCGACCACACTCTTTTCGTCACCGGAGCTACTAGATTCGGTGTCAGATGAACTGCTACCTGAATTTGAACAACTTGTGCTTCCACTTGTCGAGCTGCCCGATGTGGAACTCGAACTAGTTCCGGTAGTGCTAGTGCTCTAAATAAGATCAAATTATAAGTTTTGATTTAGTCTATTATTCTATACAATACCTTTTTTCGAAATGTAGACATTTTGTTTAAAGGTACACACTATACAGATAAGAACATGGATTCCCTGCGAAAATTTATTTTTGTCAGAAAAACGTTTGTTTATATACTCAATAATCTGTAAAAATTTGTAAACGTACTCTTGTTCTTGAACAATATGATTCACAATTGAATTTATACAAGGTGGTGTTACTGGCGAATTTGGATATTCGCCGCTGTCCTTCTGAATGTCAAAATGAAGTGTTTGTTGTAAACAAGGCGAATTCATATTACAATAAACACATCATTTTGAACTTAAGGACCGCGGCGAAAATGTAAATTCGCCAGAAACAGCATCAATGCGAATTTATCATGGTGGTGTTAATGGCGAATTTAGATTTTCGCCGCGGTACTTCTTAATGTCAAAATGATGTGTTTGTTGTAATAGGAATTCGCCTTTTTTACAACAAACACATCACTCAGACATTAAGTACAGCGGCGAAGATCTAAGTTCGCCATTAACAGCACCAAGGCGATTTTATACAAGGTGATGTTGATGGCGAATTTTGATTTTCGCCGCGGTACTTCTTAATGTCAAAATGATGTGTTTGTTGTAAAATAAATTCGCCTTGTTTACAACAAACACATCATTTTGACATTAGGAAGTACCGCGGCGAAAATCTAAATTCGCCATCAACACCACCTTGTATAAATTCGCCTTGAACACCACCTTGTATAAATTCGCCTTTAACACATCTTGTATAAATTCGCCTTGGCTTGATCGTTGCCTTTCAAATCGCATTCGCATTAATTGACTGGTTTTGAGAAAAAAGTTTGCGAAAGCGGGATCGTCAGCTGAGCGTTTGTTTACATCACAAGCACCACTATTTTACACTTTTATTTAACTGAAGAAGAGTTAAATCAACATGACAACACATTCCAAAGCGTTTTAATGAATAATTTTACCTTAATTGTATGCCTAAAGTGGCTGACATTAATTTTGGTTTTCGTTTTTTTCTTTGCTTTGTTTACTTTTCTTACGTTTTCCCGCTCAAATCTTGTTTTTGCGTGATCTTGTGTCTTTCGTTCATGATCGGTTATATTATTAGCTGTGTTTCCTTGGGCAATGATTGGGATCCGGATAAAAACTTGGCACTTGGCAAAAAAAACCAACAACATCGATATCATCCCATCAACGAAAAATACAAGACCAGACAAGAACGCGACGTTGTATTTGGGTTTTGAGAAAAAGTGACAGCGAAAAGGCGGGTTTGCCCAAGAATGATAGAATACAAGATTGCGCCGTCCTGGGCGTTGACATTTGTGTACCACAAGTAAACAAAGAAAAGAGCGAAAAGAAGAACGAGTTGGAACTGCCAAAACAGTTCACTTTACAGCTAAAAACGTGTTTTAATTTTGCTAAATGTGAAAATATTGCATTTTTCACCTAATCTATTAGAGAACAGTGAACGTTTTAGTGCACTCCATTGCTTTGCAATTAAGGCTGCTTCAGAAAATTGCAGCAGCATCTCTGCGGGATTGATTAGTTAACTTGCTAATGGAGGCTGCGTGGAGCAAAAACAAAATCATTGTGAGGAAATGCTGTTAATATAATAATAGAGAAACATTTCGGGAACGGCTTTGCCGTGCCCTATGTACACAAAATGCAGCGATTCGTCCCAGCGCTACACTTGCACCTACGCATCTTGCATCTTGATGGCTGTCGCAATTTAACACACATCACTTCATTTTATTAGTTTGTACGCAGTCTTCAACTCAAAAATTACTCACAAATTGCAAATTAACACAATTTAAACTGATTTTTCACTTATAATTCAAATTTATCTTTCGCTGATTTGTAAACAAAGGTTTATTTACAAATTACCACAACTGTCAAAATCGGCAAAACCAAAGTAGCGGTACCACTGACGGCGCCACCTTTGTTCGCTGCACCGTGAAAAACTGGTCATAAAGAGAGGTCGCGGTAGGGATACATGAATTGTACTGTAATTTGGTCATCGTGAGAGTTTATTTAACAATCCAGCGATGCGAACATGAGTATTTTTGGTAAATTCGTCAAGTATTTAAGGATAGTCGTAAGAATATATAAGATAAGGACACTTCCAAAAACAAATACCTGAGTTTTTGTACACTTACTGAATTTTTTACACCTTTATCACAGTATACTGTGCCTTTATTTATATGTCTTCTAAATTAAAATACATTTTTCCAACCACTTGTGCAAAATTATCACTGCAAATCACACTTGCCGCATTTTACTCTTTTGCTAGCATTTTGCTATGGCCAAAGAACGTAACTCTTACGTGTCTTACGTTACGGTAGTATGTGTTAAAATGATTTGATAACTGTAGTCCGTAGCCCGTGGTTTTCGATGTGTTTCAATCAAGTTGTGTCCACAAATATCAAAAACCTACGAAACTAATTGCGAATAATTATGACTTGATATAAGAAGAAGCTGCAATTAAATGTCAAATTTATCTTTTTAGCCCTGCAAACGTTTTCATTACTAGCTTTTTTATTCTGTATTTTCTAAAAGGAATTAAAAATTAAAAAAAAAGCAATCCTTATGGGCAACGATAAAAGACGTCGATCACATTCCAGGGATCGTCGAGACCGGGACCGCGAGAGAGATCGTGACCGGGAACGGGACAGGGATAATGAACGTGATCGTGGACGAGAACGGGAACGCGAGAAGGATCATAATCGACGCCGCTCTAGATCTCGAGGTCGAGATCATCCAATAGAAAAACGACGCACGGACGAGAAACCAAAAGATGAAAGGGATGAAAAAAAACCTGGCGTCAAAGACGAGGACGATATGGAGGATGTCAAAATGAAAGACATTGAGAAGGCTAAATCTAAGAAGGAACCTCTGTCTTTAGAAGAAATCCTTGAGAAAAAGAAAAGAGAAGAGGAAGCACGTAGCAAACCAGTCTTTCTCACTAAAGAACAGCGGGCAGCGGAGGCCTTGAAAAGACGTCAAGAAGAAGTAGCTGCAATGCGTAGCGCCCAAAGTGCAGCTACAGCTGCTGCCATTGCAGACGGAGATGGCTTGAATAACGGGTTCGGAATTCCACCGACGCAACTAAAAAATGAAAGGATAGATCGCAAAGATCGCGATCGCGATTATGATCGACGGGATCGTGAAAAAGGGCGAGATCGCGACCGGGATCGAGATCGTGAAAGAGATCGAGATCGAGATAAGGATAGAGATAGTAAACGCGCTGAAGATCTTACTCATAAGGATAAGGAGAAAGAACTGGAAGCGATACGTGAACGGTACTTAGGTATTGTGAAGAAAAAACGCCGTGTTCGTCGATTAAATGACCGTAAATTTGTTTTCGATTGGGATGCTGGAGAAGATACATCCATTGATTACAATAATTTGTACAAAGAGCGTCATCATGTACAATTTTTCGGTCGTGGTAATGTCGCTGGTATTGACATCAAAGAACAAAAACGTACACAAAGTAAATTCTATGGGGATCTGTTGGAGAAACGACGAACGGAAGCAGAAAAAGAACAGGAAAAGGTGCGACTTAGAAAAGTGAAACGTAAGGAAGATAAGCAAAAATGGGATGATCGTCATTGGTCTGAAAAGGCTCATGAGGAGATGACCGAGCGTGATTGGCGTATTTTCCGTGAGGACTATAACATTACAATTAAAGGTGGTAAAATACCTAACCCTATACGTAATTGGGCCGAATCTGGGTTCCCTAAGGAAATCATCGAAATTATTGACAAAGTTGGGTACAAAGAGCCAACACCTATTCAAAGGCAGGCAATACCGATTGGCTTACAAAATCGCGACATTATTGGTGTAGCAGAAACAGGTTCTGGTAAAACTTTAGCTTTCCTTATACCGTTGTTATCTTGGATTCAGTCACTTCCGAAAATAGAACGCATGGAAGATGCCGATGCAGGACCTTACGCCATTATTATGGCACCAACACGTGAATTAGCACAGCAAATCGAAGAGGAAACTATCAAGTTTGGTCAACCGCTGGGCATACGCACGGTGGTCGTAGTGGGCGGTCTGTCTCGTGAGGAACAAGGGTTTCGTCTACGCTTAGGTTGCGAAATTGTTATCGCAACACCTGGTCGTTTGATTGATGTTTTGGAAAACCGTTATTTAGTTCTAAGTCAGTGTACGTATATTGTATTGGATGAGGCAGATCGTATGATTGACATGGGTTTTGAACCGGATGTTCAAAAGATTCTTGAATATATGCCAGTAACAAATTTGAAACCTGACTCGGAAGAAGCTGAAGATGCCAGCAAACTAATGGAGAACTTTTACTCAAAAAAGAAGTACAGGTAGGAAACTCGAAATGTGAATTTTTAAAGGCAGGGCAAACATTACTTTCAAGAATTTTTAAACCATTTTAGACAAACTGTGATGTTTACTGCTACTATGCCTCCAGCGGTGGAACGATTAGCAAGATCATACTTGCGGCGTCCAGCTACTGTCTACATTGGATCTATAGGCAAACCAACCGAACGCACAGAGCAAATCGTGTTTATGATGGGTGAAAACGATAAACGCAAGAAACTGATGGAAATACTTTCCAAAGGTATTGAACCGCCAGTCATCATTTTCGTCAATCAAAAGAAGGGTGCTGATGTGCTTGCCAAAGGATTGGAGAAGTTGGGTTACAATTCATGTACTCTTCATGGTGGCAAAGGACAAGAACAACGTGAATACGCTCTTGCAGCTCTTAAAAACGGTTCCAAGGATATGCTGGTAGCAACGGACGTCGCTGGACGTGGTATTGATATCAAAGATGTGTCACTTGTCATCAACTATGATATGGCAAAATCGATCGAGGATTACACGCATCGTATAGGTCGTACGGGACGTGCTGGGAAGAATGGTGTAGCCATTTCATTTGTCACCAAAGATGACAGTCATTTATTCTATGATCTTAAACAATGCGTTACGGCTAGTCCGGTATCTGTATGTCCACCAGAGCTAATGAATCATCCAGATGCACAACACAAACCTGGCACAGTGGTGACAAAGAAAAGACGGGAGGAGAAAATCTTTGCTTGAGTTATGCGGAAAGCCAAACCCGGAAAAAATTTAATTTGGCAACATTTTTACATGGATTTGGTTTACATTTGTGAATTTAAGTTTGTATAACAGTAGTATATTTCTCTTCGGATTACATTTTTAATACATGGCTTTCGCCTTGGTAACATAAAAAAATACAAGGAACAATTTTTAGTTTATTCGTTTTAATTCTAGTCCTGAGTTCTTACCTACTATTATGATCTTAAAAGCCTTAAGAAAAATGCGGTCCGACTTTGCTTGGAATTTATGGGTAAGTATTTCTCGTAGAAATCCAGGATAACCTCTTCTATTTTGAAGCCGAATTTCTGGTACAGCACCACTGCGGCATTAGAAGCGGACACATGCAACGTTATATCCTTTGACATGCATGTCTGTAAGCATTAAAATAAAATATGCCATCACACACGCAAAATCGATAGTACATACCTGTATAAGATGATAAAGCATAAATGTTCCTATACCGCAACGTTGCCAATTAGGTCGAACGGCCATATATGAAATGTATGCCTCGTTGAAGCCTACGTCAGGCACAAGGAATCCACAACCCACTACCAGCTTTTTATAGAGTGCAACCACACTGTAATCTGGGTAGCTAAGACATTCGGACACTTTAAAAATATAAACAGTTGCAATAAGTGATGTGGTATTCGTATTTCAGAGGAGTCTTACTATCAATCCCAGGCCAAAAACTTGTTTGAAGTAAAGCATTTACTGCGGCTATATGATTGGGGCGTACATAGCAAAAATCGATTGGTGAACGAAAGGGATACTCTCCATTGACTTTGAACTGAAGCTCGCACATCAGCTGCAAAATTAGATAAATAGTATTGAAGAAAAGTATGTACAATTTTTACAACTGGTACCTTTAACCAGGGAGGTGCTATTTCTTTATCCCTATATATGAAAGGATGTAATATTCGATGGGAATAAGGCTATTCAAACATTTCATAGTCAAAAGAACAAGCTATTCTGGCGTAAAATGATTTGCGTTTACTTTCCGAAGAAAGTGAAATTAGCTGTAAACGAGGAAAATAAAGTTTTCTGTAGAATATTAATGTTAGTTATACGCCATACCTGCTGGTACCGATCAATTATTTTCGATTTGGAATCGTGCGACACATTATATTTGCCATTTATATGGTCATCTAAATTAAATAGCGGTTTGCCATGTTCACGTTTCCATTCACGCACGCAAAGTTTTCTATAGAAGCGTCGTATGTACGCCGGAATTTGAATTTTACATTGTTCCTCCATAGAAAAGATTTTACGTAGCTTGTGCAACAATTCGATCCCTTCGTATTCACTGATCGGAATTAAGCTGCAGTGAGACATTTTTTTTTAATCTGTAGATAAAACTGTGGTTTTTCTGCAATGTATATACCTTTCGTTTTGCTCGAAGGGTTTCATTTTGGCTTCTTCTTCTGCCTCATCAGATTCTTCCACCAACCAAGGCCAATTACGGCGAGGAACCTTCGTAAAAAGACTTGGCTTGCAGGCACCCAAAATTGATGCGATCCCTTCGGCTTCGTTTTCCAACTCTGGCTGCGTCGCTCCAGCGGTGTGACCATCATTTTCATCTTTCTTTGTACTGTGCTTATCTTCAGCTTCTGATTGCTCTGCATCAGATTTTACTTCTTTCTTGATTTCTTGTCCAAATTTATGTAAAAGGGTTTCTTCTATTGATCCGGTTTTGTCTTTCTTTGGTGATTGATTAAGTTGCTGAAAATTGGTGACTTGTATTATGCGTGGTTGATACTCGTCGTCATCATCATTACTAGCCTCGGATGACGTTTGCATTGAATCTTCATGAGGACTATGAATGATTTTAAAAATATTAATTGACTTTGCTTGTTTAAGTATTAACTTACAATTGTTCTATGCTTAGAACCGATGATGTTTTTTGATCACCGTGCTGTTCTGAATCGTAAAAGCTTTTCAATTTATCGGCTACTGGGTATACAGTATTAGATTCATACACAGCTGAGTTTGGATGGTATTTGGCTTCAGGTGTGTCAAAAAGTCCAACATTATCATTTTGCGTTTCAAGCAAGGGGAGAAAACCATTTTTTTCATCTCCACCTACCAACGTTTCCGTTGCGATATTTGGCAATGTACTAAAAAAATCATCGTTTGCTAAATTCTCTGCCAAAAAGTCCATTAAGCTTGATTGTACAGTGTTCAGCAGTTGTTGCTGATGGAAATTCTTGATATCATCATCCACAATATCAAGCTGTTTAGCTACTTTGGGCGTGCGACCCATATACGGCCTGGGAATAAATGAAAATTGATTATGGCAATAAATTACGAGTTCAAAGTGTTTGTTAAGAATGAAAAATACATTGTACGGCTGCATCCATCAGTTATGGGTGGTATCTCATCATCCGAATAATTTTGCCGCCTACGTTTGCTTTCGTGCTGCTCTTCATCACTGTTATCAGCATCTTCTTGCCCCCGTTTATCGCTGTGCATTTGGGAGCGCTTGTGACTAAATTCTTCATCTGCAGCATTAAATGTAAAATTATTGACTTTTCTCTATATTATTTCCATAATCACATTTTCTGTGAATCATTTTTGGAGTTAAATTTATCTGCGCCAGGCTCCACCAACCCAACTTTTGAATTGTTTCTTGACCGGATAAGAAAAAATCCGGACTGTAGTGCGACAAATTTCCTGAAATGGAGCCGAACCAGTTTTTGCGCCGACGTCTGCGTGTAGAAAGCATTTATTAGTACAAATATGTATGCCGAAAACTGCTTAAATTGCTTTAGAAATACTTACGTTCCAGGCTCCATTAAAAAGTCCCAGTTTTTGTTAATAAAACTTACAATGTGTGAACGCCAATGGAAGAAGCCATGATGACTCAGTCCCTTAGACTTCACCGATAAATTGTATAATGCTAAAGCAACTATCATGAACCAAGACAAACGCTGGCGTACAAAATTCTCACGTGGCACAGCAGCTTTCGCTGACGATGAAGTAGACGGTGCATTATATTGCAAATTCATGCAATCGGCACAGGTGAAGTCAAAAAATATATCACCCAATAAATCTCCAGGTCGACACGTGCGCAGACATTTTGCATGCACTAGACATTCACATTCCACGCACTCTAGGTAGTCATCCTCGTCAGCTACAGGTTGTTTGCAGTAAGAACAGTGCATTGCTCAGCCAGAAATTTTATATTTTATTTGTGTAAATTTTTTCTGGAAAAAAGAACTGGGGCCGAATCACGGCTCTCGTGATCGAGTAATATTTTTCGAAATTTTCTGTTTTGGCATCACCGCATTCGTGATCGAGTAAAATTTATCGAAATTTGGCATCACCCCATTCGATATCGAGCAGACGTTCGAGTAGAATTATTCAAAACACCATTCGACAGTAAATTTTGCATCGAGAAGTGGAAAATTAAAATAAAACAACAAAATGTGAGTATATTTCTAGTAAAAACTGTTGCAAACTTTAATATCTTTTTATATTTAAAGACAAACATAAACAAAATCAACAAAAAAAAAGTATTATGGCGGAATATATGCAGGAGCACCCGGATTTGGCCAGAAATATTCTGCCAAATTGCGTTCAAAGAAGAACCGTTGCTCAAAGATTGTGGGAGCAACTTTCCTTAAAATTAAATTCTGCTGGTCCGCCTATAAAAGAACTTAAAATGTGGCGTAAAGTAGGTTGTTTTGAATTTATATAATCAGAAGCTAGTGTATTATTTGGCTTAAAATTGTAGGTATTTGCAGACCAAAGGCAGAACGTTAAAAAGAAGCTGTCTTTTAATAAAGCTTCTAAGCAAAAGACCGGAGGTGGGCCTTACCAAGAAAAGCTTTTGACGGCGTCCGAGGAGCTGCTGCTGCAAGCTACTGCAATGGACGTTTCAATGGAGTACGTGCTGAAAACTTTCACTTCCCAAAAGCGATAACGTAGCAGCTAATTGCAAGACGGAGGGTACTGATGTGGACATATGCCCCTCAAACTCAAGCTCCGAAAGCACGTACTCGAATGCAGGTTTTGACAGTCGGAAACGTTTTTTGAACCTGCAAATAAAGAACTTTAACGTATGCTGCTGCTGGTAAACTTAAGGGATTGCTTTTGTCACGTAATCCTCTCCGTATCTGCACTTGACTGACTACATTATCAGAATCAGGCGAGCTCGAATAAAAAAATACTGAAATATTCATTTTATAATAACTGATATGAATATTTTATTTCTTGTTTACGTTTGAAAAATGGTTAAAGATGATACATTTACTAATTGGCAACCGATTAATAATCGAAGAAATTTCGCTAGCTTACGAATCGAGTGCCATGATTTGCCTATTCGATTCGAATCGAAATTTTACTCTCCTCGACCGGTCACTCGTTCACGAGAGCCGTGATTCGGTCCCTGAAAAGAAAAAACAAACAATAAAATGTGCCAGTGCTGCCATTAATCGCAATTATATAGTTTGGGGAAAAATGTGAAGCAAAGGGAACAATTTTAGTACAGTTAAATATCGATAAAGGGATTTAACAATGGTAGCCCACATTCGTATTTTATAAGCTTTAAATATCCAATTTCAACGAAAAATAAAATGGGTGGGCTTTAGTTTGGTACGGAATTAAGGAATATATGGGATAGATAGGGACCTAATAGTTGTCTGTATACAGTTTCAAAGCGTAGAGCCTTATAGTTTTTAGGGAATTCGTTGTTAAAGTTTGTAAATTTAACAAACTTGTATGCACAGTTTCACTATACATAATGCAACTTGCATTAAATTTATACGTTATTTACACTCAATTAGAGTGTGCACGATCAAACAAATAAATATTTGTAGTATATTACTGTTTTTTTTTTATGAAAAATTGATTGTTGTTAAATTATTACGAGTACATCAGTGTTGCCACATACAAATTTTTTCCCTACCAAAATCCTCCAAAACCTACCAAACATTTTTTTTGAGATTTTAATAAATTTGTTCAACGTCAAGTTTGTTAAAAAAGATACTAGTACTAAGTCTTTGAAACATATAAATTTTAAACTGGGTTCCCTGAATCATGGGCTGAGAGGGTGCTTTGTGCATAGCTTTGGCCTACAAATGTATCGGTTCCCCCTTTTCGGCTTCTTCAGCAAAAAATACCCGTGAAGAATTATTATTATTATTATTTTTATTATTATTTATTTATTACGGCCAAAGCCTAATTCGTAAATTGGAATATATTACAGAGTTTTATCTTATAGCTAAGGTTTTACAATATTCATATAATTTTGTTTTAAAGCCTGTAATTTGGTTGCAACTTTTTATGTCCATAGGCAGATCATTGTAACTTTTCAGACCCTTGTAGAAAATATTCTGTTGATCAATTTCAGTTCTGAAAAACGGCAGTTTGAAATTATGCTTGTTCCTCGTATTTATGTTGTGAGTATGCTCAATTAATACTATATTTTTTATTTAGATACTCAGGTACATTTCCATGTTTGATATTAAATATGAACTTCATGGAGTGGAAGAAAATTTTTTGTTTCACACTTAACCAGTCTAAAGTCTTCAACATGTCCGCTGTTCGTGTATCTTTAGGTTTCTGAAGAATAAATCTCATGCATCTATTTTGAAGCTTTTGGAGTTTGTCTACTTCTATATCCGATATTATGAATAGAATGGATGGTAAGCCACTTAGTAAAATCAAGATATATTTCCAAAGTGTTTCCGGAATGAGAACAAAAGCTGATATAAGGTGTGTACTCGTATTGAGAAGTTCTGAGAATTTAGCAGCATTCGCTCTCAAAGAGACGAAATATCAACAGAAGTACGAGAACGCGAAATTTGCAAAAAGTTGCAACCTTCGAAACAGCTGATCACTTGCACAGTTGCCACTGCTGATTAATTTGGCAATTTCTTTTCTGTTTGGTACATTTTCCCCCGATTTGGCATTTTATACAATTGAATATTTTTCGATAAGAAACACCTTTTTGAAATACAAATTAATTATATCGGAATGAATAAGTTATTTTTCTCATAACTATTTGTGATATCACATGGTGACGCATTCAAAAACAAGGGAATTTCCTCCAAACAGCCATCATTGATCCAAAAACAATGTAATAGATATAGCTACAGATGTAGCTTTAAAATTATAAAATTTTCATTTCAACAATCAACCTACCAAAACCGAAAACTTCAGCAAAACAACATTTCAGCATGCTGCATTTAAATCTATTTAGGTATATTTAAAGGTAAGTTATGGTACAAACGAAAAATGTCATACGGCAACCATAGTCAGCACACACTAAAGTAAACAAACTGGAGATTAATAGCAAATTAGCGAAAAATAAACACAACGAACGTTGTGCATATTAAATTTACTCACTTTTTCGTTGTATACTAGCATTAATAATAAAATTTGCAATAAATAACTCAAAAAGGCCATATTTTCTTTTGTTTTTTAACAAACATGTGTTTGTGATCAGCTGATTTTCTTACTTGCAAGTTTTAGCTGGGAAAAATTTTTCCAGCAGAAATTTGCAGCTCTCTTTCACATTTTGCTAGGGTTGCCAGACGTAATGCTTTTGGGAGTAAACGTACTCCTTTTTATTGCAATGTACTCCCATGTAATCCCAAAAAAAAATATCTGGAAATGTACTCCTTTATTAGTTTTGTACTTCTTTTGTACACCTTTTTCCAGCTATTAATATTTTATCATATACAGGGTGTAAAATAATAACTGTTGCACAGTTTTTTTTTGAAAAATAAAATTAACCTTTATAGATTTTGCGAAAAAAGTAGTTCATTGTTAATTATCCACAGATTTTACTTCAATTACGCAACTGATAGCTTCTTAAGTATTGGTCTACTACAAATTAATGGTAATGTAAAAGAACTTAAGCGTATTTTAGATCTAATCTTTATTAGTAATAATGTAAGTTATTGGGTATTCGAATGCCCATCCCCGATAACACATGCAAATACTCATCATGCTCCCATAGAAGTTCACATTCAATGTTATATCTACTCTACTGTTCCTCGTGAGAGAAGCCGATCAATTTTTAAGTTTAGTTTGTGCAATTTTGCCCTTTTGAATAATGCACAAAATAAACCGCACAAATATTTGCGCAAATACCAACTAGTACAAATAGGAATCGAATAAGAATCTTATTGTCGATCTGTCGTTGAGGTTGAAGATTTAGGAGTATACTTTGACTCAAAATTAACCTTCTCAACTCATATTAATTACGTCATTTTCAAAGCTTATGCTATGCTCGCTTTTGTTCCGCGTGATAGTCGGCCGTTTAGGGAACCCTACACCCTGAATCTTCTGTATGTTACTTTGGTGAGATCTAGGTGTCCTCCATATCAGCCCGTCTATACAAACCGGATTGAAAGGATTCAAAAAGTTTTTATCAAATTTGCCTTGCTTTCCCTGAGGTTTTCGGAGCCTGCACCCCCGTATGTATCTCGTTGTAAACTCCTTGGCTTAAATTCGTTAAATAGTAGGCGTTCTTTCCTCGCTGCCTCTTTTGTGGCTAAAATAGTGGAAGGCACTGTCGATTGCTCTACGCTTCAGGAGAAGTTATCTTTAAATGTTCCGTCTCATAACTTGCGGCGTGTTTCATTACTTTATTTTGGATTTCCGAAATCCAACTATGTGAACTCCTCGCCTCTTTTAAGAACCCTCTCTGGGTTAAATTAGCTCTCGGAATATGATCCATCTCTCTCATTTGGAACAGTACGTTGTGTCCTGCTAAATTACTTTGGGTAGTATTTATGCTCCTTTGCTTTAGTCAGTAAGGATTTGTATTCCATTTGACTGCAAAAAAATAGAAATAAATAAAAAATAAAAAATGTAGATAACTTAACATTTAGTAAAACTAAGACACAGCTTGTACAATAAAAACAAATTAACTGCGTATATCAATTCATTTTACTGTACAGACTTATGCGACCTAAGATGATCTATTGTAATCACTCCAACCTTATGCTATTCAAAGATCTAAGCACTTTGGACGGTACCATATTCCAAATTTTATATGGAGAAGAAAATCGTTCTCTAAAGTGTATCAGTCTACGATTCATGTTTCGGGAGCAGGTACATAGCATATACTCTAGGGTTTCGTCCACCAGCCCACAAAACCTACAGTCCGTCTCTACAGAAAGCCCCATTTGATTCAAAGGTTACCTTACCTCTTTCAACGTATTCACTTTAATGTTCCGCCAATCATCTGTTATGGACAATGTTAATCAATCACTGAGCAAACGGTTCTAAATGGATCGCTGACACCTTTGTTTAGCTCATTCCAAGTTTTTAATGTGAATAGTTACAGGTCCAATTGCCAGGAACCTGAGAAAGTTTGGGTCCCAGCTCCCACCAGCCCTTTTTCGCTGAGATGGAAGAAACAGGGCAGTCACCATGTAGTGGAGTTTATGAAAATGCCTAAGGAGAAACTGAGGATCGTCGCGGGCATCCTCACAGAACACTACAAACTAAGAGCACATCTGCAATAAAGTGTCCCACGGTATACCGACGGATCAAAGATGGACGCCGGGAATACTGGGGCAGGCTTCCTTAGGTAAAGATTCTAGAAAAGTCTAAAAATTGGCTCATACCCAACCATGTTCCAGGCGGAAGTCTTCGTAATCGAAATCTGTGTTCGAGTATATCTTCGTAGAAGGACAAATGGGACCAGAATAAATATTCAGCCTTATCATGAGTTTCATTTTCCCCGAACCGGTTCACTTTTCACTCTTGGTTTTCATGATTTTACTATGGGCGGATGACAAATTTTCGGGTGAACTTTTTTTCAGGCGAAACTCAGGATAAGGCAGATTATTTCGGAAACTCAGGCAGCATCAACAGTCAATTTCACGAAAGCAATTTAAGTGAAAAATTATTTAATTTTTTTTTTAATTTTATATGGAAATTGACAGAAAATAAAAAATCATTTTCCATTTAAATTGCTGGTGAAGCCGGCTGTAAGACTCATTTAGAACGACATCAAGACTTATGGACAGTTGTAAGACTCTTTTGAACCGCCGCGCTTGCATGGTCCCGAGCCTTTCTGCCGCTCATCTAAAGGATACACTGCAAAACTACTTAGGAGCTGGGAAGAAGGAAAAGGTCAAAGAAAATGAGACAATGGGAGAAATTCTTAACTCCCTCCAGGAGAAACTCCGAAAGAGTCCTTGAACGTAGCCGAGAGGATCGTAGAACTTTAACAGGCTACCTGACAGGACACTGAAAGTCTGTAGACACAGACTGTAGGTTTTATAATAATAATAATAATAAAAAGAAGAAGAAGCACAAGCTAAGGGTTTAGTCAAGTGACCTCTGTCGCTTTTGCGACTCGGCTAAGTAGACACCAGTGCAACTGCTCCTTTGGTAGCGTGAAAAAGTCTGGGCCCAATGTGGCCAGAAGATAATCACGTACACTTCTTGTCTCCGAAAGTTCTTCTAGAATTTCTGATAATTGTAGTTCGCCATGTAAAGCCCTTTTTAATTATTTAGATTATCTGTAGGTTACATGGGGATTTTTGGAAAATTGTATAAAAAAAAATTGCTTAAATAAATCGGTCTTATGAGCTCAGGTTTTCTGTGTATTTAATGTGCAATCTATTGAAAATACGAGAAAAGCACGCGTTCAGAATGTAAATTGGAATTATCAGTTTATTGAGTGTCAGGTGTAATTTTTTTTTATGGTTCTATATAAAGTAAGATATCTATATAAGGCTTTATTTCGTAATTTGAAAAATTAAATCTTTTTGAATGTAGCCTTCTTTATTAGTTACTGGGGGAGCAGCTTTATATAAAAAGGATTTACTTTGTTTACTAAATCTGAGCATAATTAACTTATTTTAATGCACTTTATTGAAGAAAAGAATCCACATCGCTGGCTTATGAATTTAACTCGTTTCCTATAAATTCGATCTGGGAAACACTCTACAAAAAGGTGAATTTTTAAAGTCGACATATTTTCTATTTCTACAAAGTCAGTTTATTTTCAATCAATCGCGTCATGGAATTTTAATTATGTACGTCTAGCGTCAATCCCTTTGCATAAAAATATTATTGAAGGAGGTATAATTTTTTGTTGCAAGTATATTGTGAATTTATCTACTACACATCCATCATTCATCTAAAGGGTCATGCCACAAATCAATGTACATAACATAAATAACGACAAGCAAATTAAGGAATTCAAGGATTTAGGTATAGTTTGTGGCATGAATTATTAGTAGTTTATGTAAGTATTCTCTATTTTTCTCCTAGATAATGATGCTAAAGAGCTAATAAAATCAGCCATTGAGGCGCGTCAACACGCCTATTGCCCGTATAGTAAATTTAAAGTGGGAGCCGCTATAAAAACAGGAGACGGATCAATTTACACAGGTTGCAACATCGAAAATGGCGCATATCCGGTTGGTATCTGTGCTGAGCGTACAGCGGCTTGTAAGGCGATCAGTGAAGGCAAGCGTGATTTTGTTGCCTGCGCTGTTGTTGCACAACAGGAGAGCAGCTTTACTACTCCCTGTGGAGTATGCCGGCAATTTTTAGCTGAATTCGCCATGCAAAGGGATTTCCCACTATACTGTGCCAAGCCAGCTTGTCCGCCGTTGCAAGTGCTTGCCACAAGCATTCGTGATTTGTTGCCGCGTAGTTTTTCTTTTTTGGGGAAATAAATGAATTTGGAGTATGAAAATTAATTTTATGAATATATTTTGTAAATTATATCAACAAACTTATTACGGCCGGCAGGTACGGAAGGCCGCTCCGTCGGTGGCTGGTTGAGCTTTTATTATTCAGTTTGTTTATCCTTATTTATACGCTTTCTTTATCTCTCGTCATCACTTTTATCATTATCGCTGGTTTATTTGTATATTTCTTACTTTGTCATCACATTAATTATTTAAATTTATCTTATAGATAGAGCGTAATTTTTGTTCGTCGAGAAAACCCTCTGCCTTTCAATTGCCTACCGAACCCGTAGTAGTACCTGTTTTAAGAGTTATTCTTCGCTTGAACAGCATACTGACGTTACTGGTGGTGTAAATGCTGAATACTAAGTAGATAAAGTATTTCACTATTTCATAACTGGGAACAGTTAAGGGTGTCCCATTAGGCGAATACTTTTTATGTTGTCTTGTGTACACTACGTTTTTACGTTGAAAAGACTACGATTTGAGGGCATCCACCAGGAATGTCCGGACTGTTAGTAGGGAGATGCCGCTGTCCGGCTGCTTGATATCCTCGTAAGCACCAAATCTGACATCACCGCCATCCCAGAAATGCGTTGTACGGAAAAATACCTGGGACCTTGCGAAGTCTACTACAGCTGCCATGCAAAGAGGCGCAAATTCGGTGTTGGATTCGTGGTTCACACCGGTGGACGAGCGTTTAGTCACAATTCGCATCAAAGCGAGGTTCTTCAACATCCCTTTCATTCCAACGGCCCGATGGAAGAGAAGGACGAGGAAATCAACGATCTCTTCTATGAGAGTTTGTAGCGCACATACGAGCGCTTTGCCCGTCACGATATAAAAATCGTGCTTGGCGATTTTAATTATAGGGTGGCCAAGGGATCTTTAGTCCCACCGTAGTGAGAGAATCCTAATATTGAGTGATAGCCAGGCGGCACTGAAGGCCCTCCCATCAAATTCTCCTTGATCCATGAGTGCACCGACAGGCTTAGTTCCATGGCTGAGCATAACATTATCCAACTAATTTGGGTACCAAAACACATTGGAGTTGAGGGTAATCAAGGAAGAACTCAGGAAGGAGAGGAACAAACTCAGAGAACAACACTGACGTAATACGCCAGGCTAAAGCGCTCGGAGGCTATATCCTTACAAGATACAGGGCAATTACATATGTATACATATATCCCCAAAGAGAGGTTAAGGATATTAACTGATATTATGATGGGTTACTCTATATTAAGAAGTCACGTGCATAGACGTACGTGCAGCCAAGATACGCACACGCCGCTGTACAGAAGAAATGGGCGTCCAACAATGCAAGGAAAACTGGAGCTGACGGACTGCCAGACAAGCAATTCAAATACAGCGGAGAGAGATGAACGCATGCCCGACGACCATATAGAATTTAAAAGCGCTCTGCCCAATTCACTACCGTGGTGCCAGCCTTCTAAGCATAGGGTATAAAGTCTCATCCTCATCGAGCGTATTGTGTGAAAGATTGAAGCCCACTATCAACAACGTTATCCGTGTGGCTTTTGGCCTGGGAAAACCACTATAAATCAGGTATTCATAATAGGCCAAATCTTGGAAAATACCCGTGTGAAAAGGATCGAAACTAACCACCTATTTGTCGACTTCAAAGCCGCTTTCGTCAGCACTAAAAGGACTTGCCGATCCACCGCTATGCCTAAATTTGTCATCCCCGCGAGACTAATATGCCTGTGTAAAATAACATTGATCAAACAACCAGCTCCATCCGAATTGGGAAGGACTTCTCCGAACCGTTTGTTGAAGAATGTAATAAGAGTCGCATAATGGAACCGGTCAGATGAAATTGTTTACAAGAGCATACAATTGCTGGCGTATGCTAACAGCACTGACATCATCGATAAAAATAAGGGCATCGTCTGTGTTGTCTTTTCGGGATTAGTTAAAGAAACAAAGTGCGTGGCTCTGGTAGTGATCGAGGACAAAAGGAAGTATCTCCTGTCATCAGAAAGCATATGTGTCTCGGCACCCATGTCACTGTAGACGGAGTAAACGAGTTCGTTAATTTAGGAACCAACATTAGTACAAATAATAATGTCAGCCTTGAGGTCCAATGGAGAATCACTTGTTGGCAGTGCCACTTTGTACTGAACAGGTAATTGAAAAGTGAAATCCTCTCTCGTCGTACAAAAATTACACCCTATAAGTCACTCATCATGCCCGTGCTGGTGTATGGCGCTGAGGCGATGGGCCTCTACGCGTTGGCGATGGGCCTCCCTTGACTCGGTCGTGTCTTATGAATGGATAGAAGCGATGGAAAAACTAGATGGAGAAGAACTTGGCTTCACTTGGTATTTCCAATTGACGTCAGTTGGGACATAAAAGAAACCACTGGCATGCTTTGTTGGACTCGGTCAGAATCGTATGGGCGATTACAGCGCCAATCAATGACGCCTATAAATTATTTTAGTTGTATTTACAAATCTTAACGGTCAGCCGTTTAAAAATAGTACGAGTGCCAAATATGGAACATATGTATGTATATTGTATATATCTGATTTTTAATACCCCCAAGCGCACCAGCTTGTTACTAATAGATTTCCCAGCAGGGTATTTACCCATAGCATTGGTGGCGGTTCATGTGTTCTCTACAAACTCTCTCAGCCAACATGCGGCAGTTGGTTGGTAATAAATTCGTCTGTATTATATATTTGTGTGTAGTGGTAGTCATTGATAAGGCGAAGAGAACCCCAAAGAAACCAGAAACTACAAATAGATTTTTTTCATACTATTTAATTAATTCTTGGCTAGAAAGGTGTTTGTGAAAGAAAACAGAAATCATTCAGTTGGTCATCACAAATTGAAGAGTATACAAGACGTACAAAAACGCACGGAATAAGAAAATTTGTACGAAATTGTGCTCTTAAAATTTTAAAATAGATATTAAATAACATAAAAATTACCATCAAAATGGATATTTACCAAGTGACGGGTTTAAGAAAACCAGAATTTGTTGAACGCATTGAAAAATACTGTGATTTGGGTGAGTAGTTGATGGGTAAATGAATTTGGAAAAAAGTTTAATACATATATACTGCTGTACACAAATGTTGATGGCTAAACAAGTGGCTAAGTTTATGTTTGTCTAGTTATCAAAGCATAAATATGTATGTATGTATGTATGTATTTATATTTTCATGAATGCTCCATTGCAGATGAACCAACCAAGGAATTGATACAGGCAGCAATTGTTGCACAAAAAAACGCTTACGCTTTATACAGTCACTTTTACGTTGGTGCAGCTTTCCGCACGATAGACGGCCGCATCTTTGCCGGTTGTAATATTGAGAATGCAAGTTTTACACCAACAACATGTGCCGAACGTACAGCCCTAAGTAAGGCCGTTAGCGAGGGTTACAATGAATTCGTTGCCGGTGCAGTAGTCGCTTATCAAGAGGATGCCTTTACAACACCTTGTGGCGTATGCCGGCAATTCATTATGGAGTTTGCGCCTAGCGACATACCGCTTTTCATAACAAAATCCCAAGTCAATGTTGAGAAGGCTAACAATGATTTGGTACTTGCCACATCCATTTATAATCTGCTGCC